TGAAACTTCATTCACGTGTAATCGACGCTTCCCCGATTTTCCCCCCATTTTTCTCTCTGCAAATATATACATGCTTGTTCAACGACCATGCAGCAACAGTTCCATTTCATTTGACTGAACATTTTTATCGGACGCCCTGTCGTACGCAGCAGCGATTCGCGCACGCGGATCTCGCGGCTCGACGCGTGCAACAAATTATTCGCGATAAGAAACGAACGCTACTCGCTGACACGTGACGAAAATCAATCGCGTGGGAAACGAAACGAAATAAACAGGCAGGAACGGAATTTACCTTCGAAACCGCTAAAACATAACAATTTGTCTTTCAGTAAAACATCAATCAAGCAAAATCCATCTCGTAATATAAAAACGTAAACGAGGAGGATCGAGAGAAAAGATCGATCGAGATGAAATAGATCTTTCCAGCGATATACAAATGTACAATTCCCAATTTCGCCGAATTTCTAACAAGTGAACTTATTAACCTACGCCGCGTCGAAACGAAATCCATATATCGCTCGTTAAGAGCGTCTGTCGCTTCTCGCAAGCTACGCTCTCAAATGTGCTCGCGCGGCCATTTCCTTGAAACGCGACGAATCTCTACGCGGTTTGCACTTTCCGTGACTCGCCGCTACCTATCTATGTAAATCAACGTTTATAAAAGATCGCATGAACAACACGGGGGGGGGGGGGGGATAAACTGGACAAATCGCATTGGGTTTTACAGGATCGTTACCGCGTAATAATACTCACATTCATCTTGCACAAGTACATTGTACGTATATATGTATGCATATATACGTGTCTAGAAATGTATGCACGGTCACCTCCGCCTGTCCTCGTGCCGGACGAAGATTTCCTTCGAACGAAAGTGAAAGAAACCGATATGACAATAATGAAAATTATGTCGATCTGGTGATCAATGTTTGACGTTTAACCTGTGTTGCGCTGGGATGGGAGATTGCGAGAATTTTGTTGTCCCAAAAATTACAATATTTCCTCAGTTTCAAGTATATTTGAGTAAAACAAAATCGGCAAAATAAATAATAAATTCATTACTTCTCCGGTGATGTACCGACGGGTTCGAAAAGAAAGCGACGAATTATTGTATAATATACACGGTTTATATACCCGGTCACTCGTTATGGTCCGCAATCAGTTGCCAGCGCAAGTGGTTAAATTTCACCACACTTGACAATTTTTTTTTTTTATAAAATCTCACTTTAATTTATTTTCGTTTAATTCGCAATGAAATCGTTTAATTTGGAATTTTTAACGAATTTCAGCCATTTATTTTTCAGTTCTCGGATTTTTCACACGCCGAACATAAAATGAACAAAGTCTCTCTCTCTCTCTCTCTTTCTCTCTCTCTCTCGCACGATCGATTTCTTTCGCCTTTATCGAAAATCTACGCGCTGCAAGCGGACGAACGGACGTTAGGGTGCGTATACAATAATACTAAAGTAGGCTTTAAGAAGCATTCCGATTTACGTAATCCTTATCGTGTCAATGACACGTTGCTTCTCTCGCTATCGCTAATCTTCTCCTACGTCGTACAAACTGACGCGCTCGTTCGATAGACTATCGTACTTACAATGAGTCAACAGAGGAAAAAAAAAAGAAAGAAAAGAAAAAAAAAATGAAGAAAAATCAAACGACTGCGTAATCACGCCGCGTTTAAGTCTCATTTGCCCAACGGATTTCACGCTCGCAAAAGAAAAATCGCCTGCGCGTATCGCTTTTCGTGTCGATTCTTTTTTTTTTTTTTTTTTCTTTTCAGAAAAAAGTACTGTCATTTCGGATCTGTTCTCTAACGCTTAGAATTTCCTTTTGGAAATTTTCCAGAATTTTTCTGCCAATGAAAGCTCTTCCGAATTTAAAAAAAAAAGAAAAAAACGTTAAATCGCGGAAACGACATCGCTGACGGGAGGCAGAGGGAGGGGAGAACCGCGGAGTATTTTCGGAGCGAAATTCAACCGGGTGATTCGATCAGGCGGCGGAAACGCGCCTGATTCTGGCGAACGTGCCAGAAAGAACTCGAGACGAAACTCGAGCCGTCCTTTAAACTCGATCCCGCCGCGCGGCGTGTCGAAAACTTTCCGACTCACGCTTGAACTCGGCCGGTAAGTTTGCGCGTCGCGTTGCTGGAAATCGCGGGCCTAGATCGCGGAATTCCGAAGCCCGCGAGGCTGTTTTCGCAGGGACGCGAGCATTTGCTTCGACGGAGCGATGAAAATCAACAGGATCACTGATCTCTGACAAACGTGAACACTTCAAGTAAATTAGAAACAACAGTTGGAGTTCTAAGAAGAATAAACGATTTAAGTTTGCCGCTAAAATTGCTGAAATCATGAAAATGACCGATTCATAATTTTCAATTCCAGATGCCGGAGACATTTGACGCTAGAACTACCGAAATGGCCAATTTATAATTTTCAATTATAGAATTTTTTCGGATATAAAACAATAAGTTTTTACATATTTCGGAGACTGAATAAGTATATTTTTAGATATTTAAAACGGTATATTTTAGGTATACAGACAACGTAGCTGTGTATAAATAATGTACAAATAAAAACTTGCGTACTTGATTGCATCATAACGATTCAAATTGCTGAAATTATGAAAATGACCGATTCATAATTTTCAATTCCAGATGTCGAAGGCATTTGACGCTAAAACTATCGAAATGGCGAAAAAGGTCAATTTATAATTTTCAATTATAGAAATTTTACTAAATATGTAAAACAATACGTTTTTACATATTTAGATCTGAATAAGTATATTTTTACATATTTAAAACGGTATATTTTAGGTATACAGATAACGTAGTTGTGTATAAATAATGTACAAATAAAAACTTGCGTACTTGATTGCATCATAACGATTCACTTTTTTTTCCTTCTTTTTGTTTCAATTTTTCTGGATGAGAAATTTTTACGCCTCCACTTATCAGTGGTTTCAGTGTGAAATAATTAAAAGCCAAGAGGAGTATAAAGAAAATCTAACAAAATTCGTACTTCCGTTTCCCATCTCAGTAACAAGCACATATATATATATATATATAATTTCCGAGTCTCTTTTATTTCTAAGAAACAAAACACGAGACGTTCGTCCAGCGAGAAACAACGATCGTGCGCGCAAACACCGAAATGAAAGTACTTTTCAACGACACTGGTCGCTGTCGTAAGCGGGCGTCGTAAATTGATCAACTGACCACGTAATACGTAAACAGAAAACAGCGCAACAAGTATATCAATTCGCCGCTACTACTACCGCGTAAACTGCTTCCACGTTTTACGTTGTGATTACACGATACAACGCAGGACGCATGAGGCGAGGTTTATAGGCGCGCGGCTGCTACGTTCACGCTACGTCGCCAAACAGCACGTTTCTCCTAGTGCAAGGACGCGCAAGGAAGGTTCGCGACAATAACAGAGCTAAGAGCTGGTCGCCGTTTTTCGCTAAAGGTCGATCGGAGAACGGAAACTAACCGCGCTGAACGAGCTCAACGAAAGAACAGATCCCTTCTGCACGAGAAGACGCCTCCTCCTCCTCCTCCTCCTCCTCCTCTTTCCGTTTCGTTTCCTCGACTATTTTCAAATTGAATCTTCGTTCGACGAGGTCTTCTCCAGAAGAGCTTGTCTCTGTGTGTGTGTGTGTGTGTGTGTGTGCGTCAGTTAGATGGAAAATACATATATGTCGAGTCACAAATAATCTCCGTTTTTTGCATTTGTCATCCTAATGACATTAGCAGTAAATAAGTATTCCTCTTGTCAGTTTATTACAGCAGTGGTAGTAGGCAACGTACACGTCGAGATTGAATAATACATTTCTCAGAATTTAGAAACGAAGGAATTTCGGAAATTCACATTCGACGCGTAATGCTTTTCGTGAGATAAGTCGGATGCGAAATGATGTAAGAAATTACGAAGAGAGAGAGAGAGAGAGAGAGAGAGAGAGAGCCAAACCGAGAGTAAATCCGAATAAATAGTGAGGAGGAGCCCGGCTAATGCGCTTTTGACCGAAAAATCTGTTTATCCGGCGGACTCGCGATAACTCTAAATCCTCCCGGGAGAACGGAACATCTGTTCGTCCACACGTTAGTGGAGATGCGTATCGAGTTTAACCCCGTTTAATGAGGATTTTGTTGAACTTTTTCCCTCTGTTGTCTGGAGCACGGCAAACCGCACGGGAACACGCGATCACCCTCCGTTTCGCGGATTGCTGAACTAAGTCGACTGACTGCCACATTCGGTTATTATTATAAGATCAAACTACCGTTGCAATGGTACCGATTTGGGGGAAGATCGTGCCGTAATGTTTCTGTAATATTTCTGTGATTGATAGAAAAATTGGGGATATGTAATATCACAGTATAATGTTATTACAATGTTATTATAATATAATATTATTATTTAATATTATTTTAATAACATTATAATTAATATTAACTAATAATTTTAATATAAATTTAATAATATTATAATTATGTTAACTAATAATATAAATTATTAGTTAATATTATTTTAATAATTATTTCAATAATATTACTATTATAATATAATATTATAACATCATTTGTTGATACATAGTCTATGAATTAGGTTATATATATATATAACCTGGATATGATCGAAATAGAAATACAATTGGAAGAAACGTGGAAATACGAAATCATGGAAATCACAAGTCGGTTAGTTACGTACGAATAATTTCAAGAAATATCTGTCAGTCGACAAAGAACGTTTCACGAGAAAACGAAGCTCCGTTTGCAGCTCTTTCGCGAGACACTGCGAGATCTGTTCTTTGGTTGAGGCCCGAAAGAAACACGTGGAGAAAGACTTAATTTAAGCTATGACGCTGGAAAGCGCCGCGGTGAGATTCGGCCAAAGTCGACGATGACGACGACGACGACTGTTAGAAACTACGATTCAACTATACAGTACAATAAAATACGAGGCGTGGGGTTTCTGGTTTTGGAACGAAGCGATTAATACCTGAACATTCCTCACATTTTGCTGCGGCTTGCATCTGCGGGGGGGAAAAAGAAAAGTTAAAGCAGATTGGTCATTTCGTCCGAGCAAGTTCAAAATATATGAATTGTATCGTAAACAGAATAATACAAAAAAAAAATATGTCAAATAAAATAACACAAAGATATAATCAAATTTTTAATACGCCGAATAACGTTATTTTCAGCCTCCAAGTTCTTTCTTCCACCAAATAAACTAACAGATTATAGAATCAGAAACAGAGAGTCTTCGAATCTTCGAATTGACAAAGGCAGAGATGTTTACTTCTAATTAAATTCTAATTAAATCGTTCGCTAACCTGCGCAGCAGCGTTTCGTTCCTCGAAAGAGCGCCGGTCCAGCGAATCCTCGGACCGTCCAGCGCGAGAATCCACATTCTCGGTAAGAAGGCTGTCGTTCAGCGTCGGTCTGTCGGGAGACCTCTTCTTATCCTGACCCGCAGGAATCCCCGCGGAACAATTCTCGCCGGGACTTTTCGCACCGATCACAGTGAAACCACTCTGAAATTGCACCGACTTCTTCCTCTTGACTCTGCCACCGTGCGTGGTATGGCACGAGTCGCTGACTGACACGGGCGATAGGTGATGCATCATCTGCTTCCTCACCTCCACGTAATCGTCCTCTACGTTCGCCGATCGACTCGACCTCTCACGCGTTACAAATTCTCCGTGCACGATGCACGCGGTGCTGAATCTCGCTGAACCGCTCGATCTTTCGAGATCTTGTTCCGCCGTTGTTTCGCGATGGCTGTCCCTATTTCCCGCTTCGAACGACCTAGCCTCGAAGCCCCTGCGTATGCTGAATACCGACTGATGGCCAGGCACCGGGTCCTTATCTACTCTATCGCTAGTTTTAGAATCTTTGTCGATCGTCGCCTCCCGCCGTATCTCGTAGTACTTGACGAAGCTCCTAACTCTACCAGGGGTTATCATCGTTACGGTATCGTTACGGGATTGGTCGTCACTTACAGCTACGGGTGTTACGGCCCTGTTATTGTCATTATTGTTACAATGGGATCGAGGGATCTTCCTAACTATGGCACTCTTGTCGCCGCTTGACTCCAGGCTCTCGCTTAACTCTAACTGTCGCGCGTACGCGCCACGATTACGCGACACGTCCTCTTTCCTCGCGTCAGTCTTTTCGCTGCGGCCTGCAACCATCTGCAGGCGTTCCACGTCGTCGCTCTTGGTCGGTTCGGCCAGAACTTTGCTCGTATTCTTCGACGATTCCGATAATTCCGAGTGATCCTCGCTCTCGGTTCCTTCCACACTGTTTACAGTGTTACTTGCTCCATCTACTTTCTCCGACTCTTCGTTACCATTCGACAAAACTCCTCCGTCTCCTGGGAGTTGAATCGAACTGTTCGTCGTCGGGCTAGGTTCCTCGCACTTCTCTCGCGATTCGTTGCCCTTGTCCAGGTCGTTTCGAATCCTCCTCGTCGTCAGAGAAGCAGCGTGTTGCCACTGTCTGGCCCCCAAGGAGGTTCCCACCGATTTCAACTCGACGGACAAATTACACGAACCGCTATGATCATTCAGGCTCACTTTGCGGCTATCTGACGGCAATTCGGTTTCCTCGTCGTCGTTCTTTCGTCGAGGGGGGCTCGTTGCTCGCGGTTGACTCTCGGCGGCGCTTCTTCTCTCGCGGTTCACCGGTTTCAATCTAATGTTGCCAAAATTGGAAAGCAGCTCGTTCAATACGTCGCACTTCACCTCGCCAGCCGTTCTCCCCATCTTCTCCGCTGCTGTCGGACTTACCGAAGTGGTTACCACCCTCCCCGACTTTTCTGAAATCTTCCGCGCCTCCGGATCCACTTTTCCCGGCTCGTTTAACACGTCATCCGCCAACGTCTTCTCCTCCGTCTCTCGCGAGCTCGGTGGCGATTTCCGGTGAACAGCGACGATCTTGCAGCTTGTCCACGCCTGATCCGAATCCTCGGACAACATGTTTTCTAGGAAGGAACTTCGTCGGATATTCACCGAGGCACCGATGCTCTCTCTCCTCTCGAAACACTCGGGCTTCGATGTTCTTCCATTTGCCGTGACACGGATCTCGTCGTCTTTCGCGTCGTTTCTCTTAATTTCGCGCTCGCTCGTGGGAATACCGCCAGGATTGAGATCGTCAACACCGTCGTCGTCGTCGTCAATCTGCGCGTCAGAATCCTCGCTCTCGTCCGCGAGATCGTTCGACGTGAAGTCGCAACGATTTATCACGCTTCGAAGCGATTCGTTCACAAAAAGCTTTCTCCTGTAATCTCCCGTGGATTTATCGGGCGAATACGATATTTTTGCCTGCTGCTTGCCAATCTCCGCGCCCCCCTCGGCCGGCGACACCGCCACCTCGCTAGCTTCAGTCTCGATTCTATTTGATAATAAATGTCCCTTCAAAACGTTACTCTCTACTTCGCTTTTTATTGGCTGTTGATCGGAGACCTTCGTCCCGTCGATTATTGTCGATTTCTCTGAGTTAATCTCAGACGTTGGGTATACATTTTTCTCACAGGTCGTCGAGTGGTCCTGAACGAAATTGGCGTTCATTTTGTTTCTTATTAATTCCCATTTCGAGTCAGGCGCAGTCTCTTCGGTTTTTGCGTTGTTGTTCTCATTTTCGCAGCCACCGTTCGACAAATCGAGATACTCTTTATTGTCTTCCACGATTTGGTCGCTAATCTCGGCCAACGGAGGACACCGCTCCTCCTTTTTCAAATCCGCCTCGCTGGCGTCTGCGAGTTCTTCTTCTTCTTCTTCTTCTTCTTCGACTTTCAACCCCTCCTCGAAACGAAGAGGAAACTGCTTCTGCGGATCGCTCGAATCAACGTGGCCGCGTTGGCCGGACACGTCGATCGCCTCGATGAAATTTGTCGCGTTCTCCAGGGAGTACCACCGGTCCAAGCTGTTCCTCAGAATCGTAGTGAAAGGCACGTCGCCGAACTCGTCCGGGTCCTCCTGGATATCCTGCACTTGGCCGAAAGCCCGGCTCGCGTCCGTGCAGTCCATGTCGTCGGTGATCTCGGTCAATTGCACGGAGGAGCCGCGATTCCAGCTGACCTCCTCCACCTCCTCGTCCGCCAGGGGATCGATATTCTGCAAACTGTCGCACGTGGCCTCGTCGTCGTTCTCCAGCTCGTAATCCGGGGTCGACGAGCTGGGCGACTCGATCACGAATCTCACCTTGGTCAACCGCGGGATCGCCGCCTCCTCTTGGAAGCTGTCGCAGCACATCGGGCCAGCCGATCGCCGAACCTTGCTGCTCCGGTCGATGTAGTCCTCGAAGATGAAGCGGCTCGGCTCGTCCACGTTCTCGATCAGACGGTCGGCGAACGTGGCTGTCCACGTTCTGTCCAGGCATCTCTCGAACGGCAGGTTCGTCGTGGTCACGCGGAAGCACAGGTTGCCCTCCTCGTCGTCCAGCGACGGTTTCTCGAAGAACTCGCGGAACGAGCCGCGACACTTGTCGCTCAATCCCGCGGAAGGCTTGCAGCCCTCGTCGTTCGTGTTGTTGTTGTTGTCGTCGTCGTTGCGCTGCTGCTGCAGCGTGTTCGACATCACGTTTTGAAAGTCGTGCAAAGTGAAGAACAACGGCGGATACTTGTTCCGAGTCTCGAACACGAACGGACGTCCGCGCGGCGAGTTTGTTTCGCGCCTCGGGCCGCTTTGTCTGTCGTTTCTGTCTTGGTTTTTCTCGGTTGTCTCGACATCCTCCGACTGCAGCGACGGCGGCGGCGGCGAACTCTCGATCGAACTTAGACTGTTGAATGTTTCTTCAGCGTCGTCCGCTGTCTGGACGTTCGACGTTTCTTGCGGCTGATCCCTGGCGACGTGAGATTTGATCCTTCGGATCGCTCGTGGCGGCAGCGGTGGCGGCGGCGGCGGCGGTGGCAGTGGCGCCAAACGTTTTCTGTCTGGCTTCCTGAGACGCGTCGGTGACGTTTCTTCTTCCACAGATTTTGCAATCGCCGCGGGCTTCGCTTTGCGCTTCTTCCGTCTCGGTGGTACTGGCGGCGCGTTACTGGCAGACTCTGCGCCTGAAACAACGATTGATCGAACGTTGGTGGTGTGCATGACGCTGGCGAACGTCGACGATGCTCGGCTCTGCTCGAAACGTAGCTTTTCGTCGTCCTCGAGCTTTGATTTTTCTTGTCACGCGTGTCAAAGTCAACGACAATTGTTCGCCTGCTGCGCAATGTAACGAAGTTTGGCGACGATTCGCGAGATTCACACGGATTTGTGCATGATCGCGCGTATTATTCGGTGTGAGAATTCGGAATACGGAAACGCGTGGCTAACCACGGCGTTAGACCGTCCGAGGGATACTAAGGGTGATTCCCTACAAATGACAGGCCATCTTCTGCCCCTCTCTCTCTCTCTCTCTCTACCGCGACGTCAATAACAGTGATTCACTAATGCTGCCAAGTTTAAGTTTCCTATTGAATGAAAGAAGACCCTGGCGAGACGACAGGCGAAATTCTAAAATCGATCTCGCGGCCGGAAGCGCCCGCTTCTTTCTCATCGTCGATATATTTGACCGTTTTTTTTTTTTTTTTTACTGTCAGCCAGTAAAGTTAACTCGAAGTTGTCAACTTTCTTTGTCGAAACGACGACGCCTTGTCGAAGCAAATTCGACGAACTTTGCGTTGCAGACAATTTTTTTTTTTAAATTAAAACGGACGTCGATTCAAAATGTTCGACTACGACGAAACAAGCTGGAAGGCAGCTGCGAAATGTTCGTCGACGAAAGATCATTGCCCGATCGTGAGACGAGTTTCTCCCCTTGGCAACAAAAGAGCCAAAGAGTGACGTGAGACAAGGTTCGTATTAAACGCGTAAATAGAAGGGGCAGCAAATGGTGCCGCCTCGGAACTCTTCTTCGAGCAAGGCTTCGTCCGTTAAACGGATAAAAACAATTCGATTAGGTTACGTAGTCGATGCAGCCACGTTCGACATAATGGACATAATGGCCTTAATGGCATTTTCTACAGGACTTTGCTGTACCACTATCTTCGATTAGGAAATCAAAATTTAAAAAGCCAACGGCCAAAGCTCATCGTCAGAGAGATTTCTTTCGAAAAAGTTTAATCTCGGATTTTCGAAGTTTTACGCAGAGCCAAATGAAACACGTTATTAGGCTACTGTTAACCGTTTGCGCTGGCAGCTGATTGCGGACCATAACGAGCGACGAAATATCGTATACAATAATTCGTCGGTATGATATCACTATGGATAGAAATTATTGAGAAGTAATAAATTTACTATTTGTTTTACTGAAATATAATTTAAAACTGAGAAGATGTTGCAATTTCGGGACGAGATGAAGTTCTCGACGCGCGTGGCACGTCATTCCAAGGCAAGTGGTTAATAATGTTAACGTGATTAAATAAAGCTCGATAAAAATAGTAAATCGTAGAGCAAGCACTACCTTGTTTTTTATCGGCGATTAGATAAAAACTTGGCGACTCGTTCTGCTGACGTCGAAGTCCTCTATACTGAGCAGCATACTCGCGGACTTGAGTGCACCGTTATCGACGAGATTGGCCATGTACAGGCTATTTGCATTGTGATTGCCCATCGCGCTCGACGCGGCACTGCTGTACGCGCTCGAGGTGTTCTGCACGGATGCGACATCGGTGGTCCTTTGAACGAGCCATTTGTTTGTCATACTCGATGTATCCGCTTCCGAGGACACGTCGAATCTGATGTCGCTGAAATCAATGAATGGATATTTGGAAAGTTTGCTTAGAAAATCAATAATCATACAGCTAAATCGGACACTCTACTGGAGTATTCCGATCTCGACTTGTTCATTTCGTTGCGCTTAATTTCTTGTTCAATTTACTCGACTATTCCCGGCTGTATTTTTCGAAGAAACAAAATGTGGTCGCTTCGTAATTACGTCATGTTCTGCATTACACTTTCGACTACACGATACGCTTCTAAAGTTCACAGTATCCGGAGAATTTCAAATTTCGAGAGTAAATTATATATATATATATATATATAGAGAGAGAGAGAGAGAGACTAAGAATAATCAACATTCCTGCGTGTAATTTTGCTCCCGTGCTTCTCATTAAAATCATTTGCATAGCGAAACGGAGTGTACTGGAATATTTTACGTAATTGCAAAAAGATAAACCAAGAACGATACACGATTCCACTCCACAGCATCGTTTGTAACAACAGAAACGGGGCTCTTTGAAAACGGAGATACTCGGAAGAAATGGATCGCTCGTTCGTTTGATATTAAGATCAAATTTCAGGAGAGACACGCGTAAAAAGAAATTACGCCCAAGGAGAGGTGCCTTTTTTCTTTCTCACTCACTTCAGATAGTTGTTTTCCGCGGGCTGCTCGTGGTTCTGCCTGGAGGCGGCGTTTTTGCGGGACGTGGCTTGAGAGAGGACCAGCTCGATCGTATCGGACGAGCTCTGCAGCATCTTCAGAGCGTCCTCGTACCGCAAGTGCAATAAATTCTGCCCGTTTATCGCTACGATGCGATCGCCTGCGGCCAATAAATTTCCCCGAATTAATGCGGCTCCGCTGAAAAATGGCGCGCTTCAAGCTTACCTTTGTTCACGTTCCCGGCCATATCGGCCGACCCACCGACCGACACCGCTTGAACGTAAACGCCACCGTCGTTACCCTCCGTCACTTGCAACCCAATGCTGCCACCGTGGCCTCTCTCCAACTTGATCGTCTGCAGTATTCGTTCCTCGGCAAATGACAATTCCTCGAGACGGGCTACCAAAGAAGCGGACATTGACTCGTCCTCCGGAACACGAAACGTCTCGTCATTCGTGCGGATGTCAGCGTCTGTTGGGAAAAATTTGGACAGAAGTGACTATTTACTATCGGGTGATTTCTTTATCGCGTGGCTTTTGTTTTGTAAGCTTTTCGAAAGAAAACTATTCGCCAGATTAATAATTAAATGTATCGAAAATTGGACTTGGAAGATTATTTCAAATGAAAATTGAAGGAAAATTGAAAATTTTATTATTTGCGCGAGTGTTACTAACTGAGCACGTAAGCTTCCGGTAGTGGAGACTCGGTTGATCGCGCGGACAGCGACTGAATCGAAGATTCCGTGTCCGATTTCAACGATAGCGACTCCATGTCGTCGGTAAGGGTGGTGTCTTTCTGCACGAGGCTGCTGTAGATCGCTCGCGTTCCCATTTTTACCCCCAGACGACGTGGCAAACTCGGCGTACGGTAACCACCCGATTGCCTCGGTGTTCCGTAGTTCGGTAAACTCGAAGTCTTCATCTAAAGTGGAACAAAAAGCATATCAATATCGATTTTAATCTCAACAGAGAGGTTTCGATTGTCGTGCAAAAAATATAAGGATAATTACAAATGTGCAAAGTAACTTGTTCATAATAATTTTAATATTACGAACAATGTAATTCTTTTTTCTTTTATTTTTTTTAATTATCTCGAATATTTTCGAGAGTAATTAGGTAAACTCGAAGTCTTCATCTGAATAAAAAGCATATCAATATCGATTTTAATCTCAACAGAGAGGTTTCGATTGTCGTGCAAAAAATATAAGGATAAACTGTATTACAAATGTACAAAGTAACTTGTTCATAATAATTTTAATATTACGAACAATGTAATTCTTTTTTTTTTTCTTTTTTAATTATCTCGAATATTTTCGAGAATAGTTCGGTAAACTCGAAGTCTTCATCTGAATAAAAAGCATATCAATATCGATTTTAATCTCAATAGAGAGGTTTCGATTGTCGTGCAAAATATATAAGGATAAACTGTATTACAAATGTGCAAAGTGACTTGTTCACAATAATTTTAATATTACGAACAATGTAATTCTTTTTTTTTTTCTTTTTTAATTATCTCGAATATTTTCGAGAGTAGTTCGGTAAACTCGAAGTCTTCATCTGAATAAAAAGCATATCAATATCGATTTTAATCTCAATAGAGAGGTTTCGATTGTCGTGCAAAATATATAAGGATAAACTGTATTACAAATGTGCAAAGTGACTTGTTCACAATAATTTTAATATTACGAACAATGTAATTCTTTTTTTTTTTCTTTTTTAATTATCTCGAATATTTTCGAGAGTAGTTCGGTAAACTCGAAGTCTTCATCTGAATAAAAAGCATATCAATATCGATTTTAATCTCAATAGAGAGGTTTCGATTGTCGTGCAAAAAATATAAAGATAAACTATATCACAAATGTACAAAGTAACTTGTTCATAATAATTTTAATATTACGAACAATGTAATTCTTTTCTCTTTTTTTTTTTCTTTTAATTATCTCGAATATTTTCAATATTTCACATCCTGACTTTCATGCCACTTGACTACTAACAGGAATTATTTTAATGTGACATGCCTGTCAAAATAAAGTGTATAAAAATATGAGCCTTTGATGAGGAGGCAATAAATCCAGATTCGTAACATTTACAAGAAAATTTCATTCACACAAACAACATATGCGTGTTTCAGGTTCGATATACTCTTTGTCAAAAGAAAAAAAAGAAAGATTCATTCCTTCCCACGTGACACGAGAGAAATAATAGAAAGCGGGGCTACCTTGTGCAACGACTTCTTCACGTCCGACACGTCCCACACCTCCTCCGGAACAGGAAACTCGTTCTTCCTTGAGATTCCAACTTTGTTGATCGCCGCGTACAATACCTCGGGGTTATCCGGCTTCTCCATCTGATCCACATCGTTCGACGAGATGATTTTAGGAAGCGAATAACCGCACTCGGCCTCCGTTTCCAATTCCATTCGCGGGCAATTGTATATCTTCCCGTCGTTCATCATTTCCTTTGCGTCGAGCGAGAGCGGCTCGTTCGGGCTCGTCAAACTTCTCTCTGACTCGTCTTCCGTGTTACGCGACTCTCCTTCCGGCTCCAGCCGTACGTTTACCTGCGCGTAAAGTGCATCTTCCTCGGTGGGATAGAAGCCCGGCTGCTCGCGGAGAGCGTCCTTTGCCTTTGAAACCGTGATAACGTCTTTCTGTGGATTTTCGTTCTCTTTGTTCTGGTATTCTTCCAACTGCATCGAATAATTCAACCTCAGCTGCGCGTTCTTCACGGTGTTCGCGATGGCTATCTTCGTTTTACTGTCGTGCGACTTCGACTTCGACGGCGAGGCCTTTGCTTCTATCGTCGTAGGGACACCAAATTCTGACAAACATTTTGTAACATTTTAACTTTCGTGATATTTTTTCCTTTTTTTTCTTTTTTTTTTTTTTTTGTACGAAGTGAAATTTTCAACGAGCCAACAAAATTATTATTATTATAAAATTTAATATTTTATAAAATTACTAGTAATTTATTAGTAGATATTAGTATAAAATTAGTATAATTTGCTAGTAGATATTAGTATAAAATTTATTTTGTATACGCGTTGCTATTTAGTTTTCTCTATTTAAATATTTTCGTAGAGTACTAATACGAGCCTATGAGAAAATTCAACTAGACTTCTCCTGAACAATATCATTTTTTCAATAGTTGAAATTGAATAAATTCGTTATAAATTGATCTTGTCTTTTCGATGAATTTTACGAGAAGACGAATACTAGCAAAGATCTTTAGAACTCTTTATTCTACAAAAAGCATACGCAGAATAGCTAAGACGTACCTTTTGCGAGTCCCTGTAGCGAGGTAAGTTCCGAGCGTAGCCGTAAGAAGAACTGATGGTGCAGAGAGGTGAGCTTGAAAGCGAAGTAACTTCTGCAAAACGAAAATACTGTGAAACTGCCTATATGAGAGAGAGAGAGAGAGAGAGAGAGAGAACCACTAAATCTTCTTTTAAATTCCATTTAAATACACAGAAACACAGAAACTTCAAGCAACTTCGTTCGTGCCTGTCATTCAATTCCTCAACAGATAAATTCCAAGCAACCGTCTTTAAATAAACTTCTCCGCGATAATCTCATTCAACTGAGTCGTTTAATCTCGTTTTATCTCTAACGAAAGAAAGAAAAACCTTTCCACATTTCAGCATCAACTCGTCATTCTTACCCAACCGAGCTTCATACATAATAATTTCATTAAACGAACGCTTACTTTCGGTGATCCATTCTCAGCTTGAACTTGCATCGTTTCCCATTCACCTTGCTGCACACAACCAGGCAGCTTTTACTGTAGTTCAACGTCTGAATGTCCTTCCACTGAAACTGCGCCAGTTTGATCCTCTCCCTCGGCTCTCCGCCTCTCTCGAACAGTTTCAGTCCCTGAGCGTGGATAGCCAGCCAAACATTGCTCTCGGTCTTCTTCTTCCCGTTCTTCCCACTCTTTCCATCGTGATTCAGCTTGTTATTGTTGTTGTTGTTGTTGTTGTTGTTGTTGTTAACGTTATTGACGTTGTTATTGTTGCAAGCCTCCAGACGATACTTGGACCTGTGAGCTCCAAAAATGTCGTTCGAAGTGGCGCTCTTGGTCAATCCAGCTGGCTTTCGCTCGTCGTACGGGATCTTCCGAATATTCTCGCAAGATCCCAGTCGAGAGATCTCGATTCGGCCTCGCAGATACTCCTGTCTGCTGTCTTGCTTGTAAATGCTCTCGGTGGAATCGAGCAACACCTCGGACGTGTCGCGCTGGTCCAGCAACTTTCTCTTCCTCTGCTGCGCCATCACTTTCTCCAGCTCCTTCGAGTCCACGGTAGCGATGTAATAATGGGACCCGTAATCCGGCAGAGTTTGCGCGTGAGTTATGAACATCTCCTCAGCTTTGTTCGAGTCCAAGCCGCGTCTGTCACGGTGAGCCTGATGGAGACGGGCGCGAAGAGCGTCCGCCCCACCGTTGTTGATTTGCGACTGATGTTGATCTATATTCAGGATCAACGACTCCGGGATGTAGTGCTCCAGCAGAAAGTAATCGCCGCAACCGTGTTCCTAGGTAGAGAGGGAAGAAAGAAAGTCGATGACATTCGAGGATGATGAAGAATTTTTTTTTTATCTTTCTCCTTTTCTTTGCTCACGATAAACTAAAGTACTCCGTTAATTTCAACGGGGTAAAACGTGTGATTTATCGAATGAAGGAACGAATTAAAACGATAAAATTAAAGTCGCGTTTGAAGAAATCGATTTTGTTGATAATTTTCATTTCATCGATTAACGATCGATATTTTCGCTTGGCTCGCTTGATCGACGGCTCAATGTCACATGCCCGTTTAGTAATTAATCGTCCGAGGAATATTTCTTAGCGGCAATGAATCACGAATTTGTACTCACGTTCACGTTATAATTTCCAAATTCAGCCTGAAGAGCGAGTCCAGTCAGATTAATTAACTCGGGATACGGGCACACCAGCTGTTGCTCCAATATACATCGTCGTATTTGCAAATATAATAGATGTTTCGATATCCAACTCCTGAACAGATAATTCACAGTTGATTAATCTGCAAGCAATTTTCCACGCGAGCAGAATAAATTTATTACACGAATAAATTTATTTTCATGCCAGTTGCTGGCAGATTCATTGACGAAAACGAAAATCACTAAACTGTATTTTCCTTCTTCTAGGAAGGTTCTATTAAATTACGTTCAATGGATCGCGTTTGAAAGAAGCTTAGGTATACCTTACACCACGTAGAGAGGGCAGGAAGAACCTGAGCCTCAGGTACAGCATGAAACTAGTTGGAAGACCCAGAAGACCTTTGTTCTTGCCACTGCTTAACCATCCCGGTGGCGCGACTTTATTTAATTTAGTATCAGGAGGCAAAATCGCGAAATCACCGGCTAATAGCACCGCCAGGCCTAGGGTGAAGTTTTCGTCGAGGCTTTCAGCTTGCATGATAGCCTGGAACCATTCACGACCGATGGCATTAAACGTTAATGGTGTAATTATACGAGACCAAAGATTCGATATGGTTAAATTGCCATCAGATACGAATTGTCAAATCAATGCAGAACGGTTTAACTTAATGTGGTTTTACATATTCGAATGTTGAGATATGTAACAATTTGGGCTATCCATAACATTTTACAGACACCAGGAAGATGTTTAAATATTTCTACGATTTTTCTCAATAAAAATTGACCACACGTAATAAATACGTTTTAGGACCGTTCGCACGTGCACGCGAGGATGTATATATTGGATCGCGCGAAATGTGTCAAGTCAATTTCAAAATACAATCCACTGCCGACAAACAGAGAAATAAATTTATATCTGTGAGAAATTGCAATCCACGTTTGTATCTTTTCCGATAAAAAAAAAAAAAAAAAGAAGACAGATGAAACTTGTGACGTGAAACGTCACGAAGCTCGCAACGTCGCAATAATAATCGTACGATATTTCATACGGGAATGATGTTTCACGATGATAAAGATGAATTAATCGTATTGTTCTTTCAACGGGTGCCAAGTTTTTTGATCGATTAAGACGCTTGCTCCGGTCAAACAGAGACTGTTAATCGGTGATATCGCATAGCTCATGGTTTGTGGATTTGTCATATACAACGATTAACCTTGGCAGAATGCCAGAATTTCTCATGAGTTCACGCCGGAATTTGTGGTCTCATGAATAGCCCACCCACGCCTGGTTTCTTGCAGTGTGACATTCGACATCCACTCGACAGTTCACAAAGGAGAACTCCGGCACAGGTTCTATTTATATGCGATTCCTTTAGAACGAAAGTTGATCGATATCAAATGTATGTAGCTTGTTACAATTTCTGTTAAAATTGACAGAAAATAATAACTGAGAGTGACGTGGAAAAAAAAACTTTATATTAAAAAGAAAAAAAAAAGTCTCTACGCTGCGATTTATCCACGCGTGGTCGCGAAGAGAATAATTAATCATCATCGATTTAGGCGTGGAAATATTTTGCTTTCACTATATATATGGAAATCTATATTTCTGTAAATGACATTATACGTATCATTCAAACATAATTGTCTAGCAAATTGAATCCCTTATCATCGAGAGACACTCCTCCATGGAAAACTCTCGCCGATTCGTACTTTTCATCGAACTTCGCCACTTTTCATTGGTTTCCGTCATCGAAAATACCATCTACGCTACGATTCAATTTACAGATTTTTATCAGACTACTTTTTACACAAAAAAAGGGAAATCGATCGTGTACCGTTTGAAGCAGAATTTCTTTTGTTTGTTTCGTGCGATTGGAAAAAATTGAAAGTCCATTCGTTGTTACCTGAAACAAATCGCCGGCCGTAACTTTCTGAGGATCGCAAGTAACTTCCACTCGTTGACCAGTCAGCATTATTACGACAATACGCCCGGAATTGCTAGCCTGTAAGCAAAAATAAATCATGTCACGTAGAATGTATAATTGTTTTCTATATCGTCAATGCATTACATTGTTCCATCTTTTATGTGTTGCGTAAGATTTAAATGTATATATATATTTGTCAAATATATAAAACTAATAGTGCTTAAATATTATTTCAAATAAGAAAAAGCAACAATAATTATATTTATAGTAAATTCTCGGACTACACAGAATATAATATTTTAAGAATACAGTTCCCAAGATCCGGTATGGTCTAGTGGCTAGGATACCTGGCTTTCACCCAGGAGGCTCGGGTTCGATTCCCGGTACCGGAAACTTTTTTTTTTTCTTTTTCATTTCTATTTGTTACTACCCACCATGAAACAATTGCACTTCTACCACAAACACTTCTGTAATTATTTAATAAGAAGTTACAGCTTGTAATTAGCATTTTGATTTTTGAAAAATGGGTAACTTTGGTAATAAATTTCATGTCGACAATAGTTGAAAGTTTTAAAATTAATGTCTGATATTGACCATTATAAACAGAATTTGGTTTAATATAGTAGATAATTCGAGTCTGTGAATCATGTTGCTTCTCTGTAGGTTGATTAGTGCCTCCACCTCCAGTGAAGAGTTCTTAGCACATGTAGTTTTTTGCACATGATGCGTTCCTCTGCCAAGGCCATTAAACACAATGTGAGGGACGCAGTTAGGCTCATGCCAAAATTATTTTATGGGACAGACCTTGTCGATAGTCATAAAAAACCTTATAAGGGCCGACGATAACAAAACCCGGTCAATAAAACAGCACACAATAAACAGGATGCAACATCAGTATACAGCGACCAGTGAAATAGTGAGTCTATAAAGTAGCAACCTCTAGCAAGCAAACATGTGAAGTCCCAAACATATTTAATCGAGAAGTATAAATATAAAAATATATCTACAAATTATATTATTATAGGTCTAGAAATTTCGACTTTTCTAATCGAGGATCTTTCGCAGAAAGATTTCTACTCTTGTATATAGACAGATAGCTTATCTGGTAAACAGTTGCGACAGATGTGTGCTTTCTGTCATTATATTTTACAATTTGCTTATAATTCAAATTATATAATGATCGACTTATAACATAAAATTAGAGTTAGGTGGCTACTTTAAGGACCAAATTTTCAAAAATCCGGTATGGTCTAGTGGCTAGGATACCTGGCTTTCACCCAGGAGGCTCGGGTTCGATTCCCGGTACCGGAAAATTTTTTTTTTCTTTTCCATTTCGATTTATTTGTATATTTGTTACTACCCACCATGAAACAATTGCACTTCCACCACGAACAGTTCTGTAATTATTTAATACTAAGTTAAAGTTACAGCTTGTAATTAGCCTCTTGATTTTTGAAAAANGGCAAACTTCGGTAATAAATTTCATATTTCGACAATAGTTGAAAGTTTTAAAATTTAAATGTCTGATATTGACTATTATAAACAGAATTTGGTCTAGTATAGTAGGTAACTCGAGTCTGTGAATCATGTTGCTTCTCTGTAGGTGAAGTACTGAACACAATGTGAGGGACGCAGTTAGGCTCATGCCAAAATTATTTTATGGGACGGATTTTGTCCATAGTGATGAAACACCTTATAAGAGAGTTAGCTTATATAAGGGCCAACGGTAACAAAACTCGGTCAGTAAAACAGCGTACACTAAACAGAATGCAACATTAGTACACAACAGCCAGTGAAATAGTGAGTCTATAAAGTAGCAACCTCTAGCAAGCAAACATGTAACCAAGACGCGACCACCGTGAAGTCCCAAACATATTTAATCGAGAAATATAAATATAAAAATATATCTACAAATTATATTTTATAGGTCTACAAATTTTGACTTTTCTAATCGAGGATCTTTCGCACAAAGATTTCTACTCTTGTATATAGACAGATAGCTTATCTGGTAAACAGTTGCAACAGATGTGTGCTTTCTGTCATTATAGTTTACAATTTATCTATAATTCAAATTATATAATAGTCAACTTATAACATAAAATTCCAGGTAGGTGGCTACTTAAGGCCCAAATTTTCAAAAATCCGGTATGGTCTAGTGGCTAGGATACCTGGCTTTCACCCAGGAGGCTCGGGTTCGATTCCCGGTACCGGAAGATCTTTTTTGCCATTTTTTTTTTCTTTTTTTGAACTTACATAAGTGTTATGATGCGTATATATCTCATATATAAAATTTAATGGATTCAGTTATGTTATAGGAAGAACATAAATTTCTCGAATTATACGAATAATTTCATTTTTATATTTTGAAAAACGATTAATATAATGAAATAGAAAAAAATTTCGTTAATTGGAAATCAAATTAATTTTAATTCTTTTTCATGTAAATTTAAAAATTATTACTGGAACAGTCTGTACTGTGATTGAAATGAAAATGTTATCGGAATCCGGTATGGTCTAGTGGCTAGGATACCTGGCTCTCACCCAGGAGGCTCGGGTTCGATTCCCGGTACCGGAATTTACTTTTTTTCACTTTCTTTTTTTTTTTTTTATTTTCGATATTCATCGTTCTTCTTTGGAATTTTTCTATTCATGATTATCACAAAAATTTGTTAACAATTGCGAACAATTAAATTTCCAATTTTAATAGTCAGAATGTTCCAGAAATCGTTTCCAACTTATCTACACCGCAAAGTTGTAATTCTATTCTCTAGAAAAAGTACAGTATAAAATGGAAATATTTTTATTACCTTTACTTGGCCAACACACAGTGTCTTTGATGGCTGATTAGCACGCACTACAAATTCTGGCCCAACGCATTGCGCTTTGTTGAAGGATCTCGTTGGAACACCTACTGTTCTGTAGAGACGAGATGGTGCTCTTTGAACCGCTTTGCCACGCCGAGCTCTTGGTCCATTCTTTATCATATTTCTGGAAACATTAAAAGAAAAACAATACAGATTCTTAAAATGTATTCAATTGTTTTTTGACAAACATTACTTCTTTTATTCTTCATTTTTTTTCTTCCTCAGTCAGTATTGAATTAACAATTTTCTCTGTTATCGATTGGAATTTATTTTTCATAATAAATGCCCGATATTGCATTTATTATTCACGGAAATTCGAATGGAAATGGAAAAAAGTCGTACTATATACCATTATGATAGTAATGGATTGACGTCACTGAATTCATGTTTAACAACCGTAAACTATGGAAAGATCAACAGTTCTTTAACAAAAACGATCGTGGCGAAACCTTTTTCCCCTACGTTTTTCTCTACGTTAGCAGATCCTTTCTCTCTTTACTTTCTCCTCGTTCATTCCTTTTTCTTCCATTATTTTTTTGTCTCTGATTCACCTTCTCCCCCGTAGGTTCCAAATTTTTCTCTAAACTATTATTAAATATAAAACTACCTATCTCTTTCTGCTTTGTTATTTCTCTCTTAACTTTCATATTTTTTTTATCCGAATCTCGATATTCATCTTTCATATTTTTCAGAGTTCTTTTTTCTAGCGGCGGGGCGGTATCGATTTTTGCAGTTTGTCGTCGATGTAATTAATGGTGTGGGAGTACGTAGTACAATTCTTTCTTTCAGGGATTGGTGAAAACAAAAAAAGACAAAGAAACGAGAAAAATTTATTTCCTATAATATAAATAAATTTTTACTTTTAGTGAATAAGTTTTATTTTCTAAAACGAGGAAAAATCTCGCGGGAAAAAGATTTTTCCTCGTTTTAGAAAATAAAACTTATTCACTAAAAATAAAAATTTAGAGACGACTATAAAATAAATCACACTTTGCTTGTAAAATTTGCTTGTAAAAGAGAGACGACTATGAAATAAATCATACTTTGCTTGTAAAATTTGCTTGTAAAAAAGAGACGACTATAAAATAAATCACACTTTGCTTGTAAAATTTGACCTGCGACAATCATTTTTATATGTAATTGATATTTCTCCAAATATAATTTACTATACTATTAATTTAAATACTTAGTATTTTTATAAATATCACAACTCGTTACTCGCTATAATACTTTCGATCTGCACTCTCTGATGTCTCGCTACTCTCTATCGATCCTTTCGCCACATGTCTCCACAAAATCTTCGTCAGTCACCCCTATATATTTTTTACTTTCTAAACCTAGGCGACTAAAACAAACATTCGCAGACCCTTTGCTGCGATAATTGCAAAGGGCACTCAACAGTTTTCACAATTGCCTCGCTCTTGGTCCGCAGGAGAAATTTTTCCATCTAGATTTCCTCGTCCCAGAGTAAATTAAAAACAAAAGAAAGTTCACAAATTACAAATTTTTAACATCTTTTAACATCACGAAGTGCACAAAAATTCTCAGACGTTGATTCCGAAGAATCAAGAAGTCTCGCAGCGTCATTCGTTCGTCGTCCCACCCTCGAAACTCCAGAAAAAGTCGAGCAATCTCGTCTTCACCTCGATTCGGCCGCGGTTACAGAAAATCCGCAATCAACGAGCACTCTTGGGTCTCATTGACGCGTTTAGACGGAACAATCGTTTCCATTTCCATCCGGCAGAATGCCACCGTTTAAGCTTTGAGCCCCGACAGTTTTATAAGGTCTTACACTGGCGGAGGGTGGCCGAGGCTGCGACCTAGATCGCTCGGGGAATCATATATTAACACGGGCCCGCGATTCCGGGACAAACTTAATAACGCGGCGCCTAGAGGTGGTGGGAGGGAGGGATATTTGAACGAATGTTCGACTGCCGCGTTCTAATTTAACGGCCTGTCTTAGCTTAGGAGATTGATGAAAATTCCAACGCGTGAACGCCGGCCGGTTATAAATTTCAACGTAGCCTGCCTTCTCTTTTTCTCTCTCTCTTTCTTGCTTTCTGTCGTTTCTTTAAAAAAAAAAAAACGCGACTTTAGCGAACAAAATTGAGAAATAGACGACGCCAGAGGTTAATACGAAGGGTTGGTGGGCGGTTACTCTGCTGGGAATTGTTACGATCGGAGGAAGTTTTGTTCGGATAGTCGGCGGTTCTGAATGAACCTTTTGTCGGCGTTTAATCGCCGATGCTTTTCTTAAGAGAAATAATAGAGGGTAGCGGTGGAATGCTTCGATCAAATAACAGATGATTCTTTGTGCAAGGAGAACTTTAGGAGAAAATGAAATGGGATGAATTATTCTTTTAGCTATGGGATGTCCGGTGTTGGTGTTTCACGCCGAGAAATATTATCCCAAGATCTTAGCCCTCTTTTCGAAAGATACCGAGATACCGAGATTCACTGAATCGTGGAATTCAGAATAATGACACTGATAGTCACTGATGGTCCAAAAAGCAGGAGAAAGTAATTTCAATATATTGATATATAATATTGCTGAATTTGTCTTAACGTCAGTGGCAACATTACGAAGTAAAAAACGCATTCTAACGTTTGAAAAAATCAAGGTGACTTTCGAACTTTTATCGGAAATTTCCTTTTAAATTTTATATAATATTATAATTTCCTTTTAAATTTTATATGTCGAAGTTTAGGTTGGCTTTAGGCTTTCGTATATTAAGTCTCGGTTAGATAGACGTGTCTCAATACTGATTAGCTTCTATCGAAACAAATTTGTTTTCTTCGATAATCGGAAACGAAATTGCTTGAGAAATCGCTAAACTAAACAACCAATTATGATCAGGTAAATAATAATAAACAAATTAATGCAGGCGTTGCAACTTTTACAGGTTTACAGGTTAAGGCAAAAAAAAAAAAAAAAAAAAAGAAAAAGATGAAAGTCAATTGGATTATATGCGAGCTGTCGAACGAATCAGAGTGTATAATTGTATTAATTATATAATTATATATATATATTTTCTTTTGCATTTACCTAGGAGGTTTGGCCGGCGGTTCGGACTTGCTGCTCTCCGCGTCGGAGAATGGCGCCTTCTTCAGCGTGGTGATTATTCGGGGCGGTTTCGGCGGCCCCTGAACGCTCCTCACTCTCATGGAAGACACTGGATTTTGTTGTTGCATCGTCTGCTCCTCCTGCTCCTCCCTGTTGCCAGCACCAGCCGGGCATCTGTGATCGGTCGTTGTTACGCTCTGCTCCGGCAACCGCCCGAAATCACCCTCTTGTTGATCCCTGCTAGGAAGCTGAGGATTTGAGTGTTGTCTCTGCAACGTCGGATTCGCCCGTCCTGCACATCTCCCATAAATCTCCTCTCGTCCCCGTTCCGTCGACGACGTCGGTATGTCCGGATGAGAATATCCAGCCGCCGACGGCCGCCTGTAAATTGCATCGGGATTTTTCTACATTATTTCTCGCCCTTTCGTTGTTTCTAAACTAAATTTTTCCTCGAGCAGAACATTTCTACATCGTGTGTAATTTTTGCATTTAGGTTCATTAGCTTATTAGGTTTTTATGGACTTTGTTCTTTTCGGTTAACTTTCCACAATTTTAATTTAGTTAATTATTCGTCGCTTAATTCAGCTTTATTTCATTGCTACGAAAATGATTAATTTTATTTGGTATTTTTATTTAACGTGTTACATTGTACCTTTCTTTATTTTAACCCTAAACTTGCAAATACTTTGCAGAATTTTTCTTCGGGCAGAAAATTTTTGCATCGTGT